ATATATATAAAATTTAATTATCTAATTCATTAATATTAAGAAAAGTAATTAATTTAGTTGATAATAATAAATTTATCTTATTTATATTTTTTTAAACTATCATTATACTATTTCTCTTTCTTAATTAATACTCATATATTTTTTAATTAATTAAAGTGAATGTCTTATATTATTTATCTCTCTTAATTAATACTTATCTTTTTTCTAGTTAATTAAAGTACATATTTTTTAAAGAGATTATAATTAATGTATTTTACTAAATTAAGAAAACACACTTTAATTACAAGTATTTTAGATTAAAAATAATTATTATATGAGACAACATGAATTGAGTCTCATATAAAGGAACAAACAATTGTTTTAAGTTGGATATCATAAATAGGAATGAAGGTAGTATTATTTATTGTGAATTGTGATTTGTTAATTTTGTAAAACTATTTTACAATGTTGGTATATCATCGTTAAACATATGTTAGTAAAACTATTTTTAAAAAATTACACATTTTAAGTGACTTAAATCTTCTCGTTTCAAGGTGTATTAACAACACACCTTCTAATATATTTTTCTTAAAACACTCACCTTTATTGATTATAATTTGTTAAAAATTATAAAATTAGTAGAAAGAATCATTAAATAAAATATAAGACTGACCAAATTTTTTATTTTTCAATAAATTCTACCAATGAAACAAAACATAGTTTAAAAAAATGTGACAGATTATGTGTGACTAACATTTCTCGTTTCTCATATCATCATGAGCTCAAAATCTGTAATTTCTATATATAAAAAAATTAATCAATAATAAAGACTATTAGAAACATAATGTTAAAAAAAGTGTGTTAAAATGAACTAACTAGCATTCCTCGAATTAAAATTGTTCCCGACTTTGTTATAACTTTGACTCAATAGTTGAAAATTTTTTACTTATATGAGGGAAGTTTTCTCTCTTTTGTTCTAATGAACTATTCTTTGAAATATAATTTTAGAACTTTCATATTGTTAGTAACAAATCTTTCTTAATGCATTGATTCTCATTAAATTGTAGCTTTTTTCATTTTATTTCGATTTATTTCATTTTTTCATTTTTTTTAAATTATCTAAAACCTATATTTTGAGCGTGTTTTGCGATAAAATTAAAAAACTTTAAAACTCTTTTGACTTATTTATAAGATTATAAACTAGTTTAGTTAAAATAAATTTGTTTAATATGAAATCATGACTTTTTTCAATAAACAAATTAAAGTAACTTATAATTTATAAGTTTTTAACTTCTTTTTTTTTTCTCTTTTCCTTTTATCTTCATAAATTTATTTGAAATCTCTTATTTTTTTAATATAGAAACTATTTTTCGCACATGTTATTCTCTTTCATTATTAAATAAATAAATATGTCATTTTATATTATTTGACTAATAGTATAAATGTATAATTATATAAAGTAACATTTTGAAAAAAAAATAAAAACATATATATATATAACAAAAATTATGAGGCAGGATAGGACAATAATGAGAAAGATAGCCCTTGAGTTCAACAAACCATTGTTTTTATTTTCTCAACAGAGGCAAATTATGTAATATATGTTCACCATTGATGAAAGCAGAAAGAAATACAAATCAGAAAAGAATAAACATAAAAAGGGGACAAAACAAAAAGATGAAAACAGATGGTTTGATACACATATGCATCATCCTAAAACCATCCTATGAGGCTGAAAATAACTCAGATGGAATTGTATATTAAATTTTTAAAGATGGCATAAAGGCAGCATATGACACACACAAGCCTAACAGAACACGAAAACCACTTCCATAGCTTTGATAATAATGCTGATGCCGCGTCAGTATCATCTTCACACTGCATGAATAGAAATAAACTCTCATATCATTAAAATATTTTATTAAAAATTATATTTCTATGAAACAAATACAAAAATAAATTCATTACCAGTTCACATACAATTTCAAATAGCATCATGAAGATCAACAGAAGAGGAAACAAATAGGTGAACCAATTCCAGTAGTTGTAGAATGACGGCATGACCAATGTCTTATTGTTTGGATCTGCTGAAGTCCATAGGAAGTGCCCCATGATGTTGAGGCCAACTATGGCGAGTGGTGTCAGAGAAGCAGAACAAACCACTGCGTTAAACACATTCTTCCATTTTGGAACCATAATCTCCTTTGAAGGCAAAACCATTGCTCCCTCAAATTCTTCTGTGCCACTCATTCTGTCACTCATTGTAAAGATTCGTAAGATGTATTTGGTTTTTGGGTGGTTACGGTTCCTTAGGTTACACAAGGGTGATATATATAGACTATGGAGATAAAAGCCTTTAACAATCTCTTATAGAATGAATCACAATATATCAGGTAAAACTGGATTTTAAATTCGAATCCATCTAATTAATCTGATCCCTTAACTTTCGGTTTGATTAAAGTATGCTAAGATAATTTTAGATGATAATATATTATTAAATATTCAATCTTGAAGTGAATTAAAAATCAGATGATATATTAGTATATATGTTTCGAAAGATATAAATACTTGTTTCGCAGAAAAGATATATATGAGAAAATAAGATAATTATTATATCTTATTGTAATTTATTGATTGTTGTGCTAATAAAATATGATAACGGTATTATCTATCTATCTATATCTATATATATATCTTATTATATCTTATTAGTTCATTAAATTTCTTATCTTAAAAGGGAGCTCTACTACAAAACGATAATATAAGATAAATCATTCTCTTTATTTATAGATAATAATAATAATGTATTGTGTTGAATATATAATGTTGATTAAATTATATTTTTTATATTTTATCTACTTTTTAATATTTATGTTGGTTTTTATCTCTTACAAAAATTATTTTAATCTTTTATCTTTTAATTTTAGATCAATTTAATCTTTTTGAAATTGTATTTTTTTTAATTTTATAATATGATTTTAAATTAATTTTTTATTAATTAAAGACATGAATCTTGTCTTTTTGTATTCACTTACATAAAAACTATTAATTTTTAATTTTATATATATATATATATATA